AGAATAAGTGGGGGAGATAGCTCAGTGGCATAAATGCTTGCATGGCAAGCTCAAGGTCCTGAGTTCAATCCCCAGTACCCAAAAAAAAAAAAAAAGAAGAAGTTTTGGGCTGGAAAGATAGTTCAGTAGAATAAGCGTTTGCCTGGCAAGCGTAAGGTCTTGAGTTCAATCCCTGGTACTGGAAAAAACATAAAACCTTGCCTTTCATTTTAAGGAAGCAGACAATAGACACATGGGAGAATAAGAATAAAGGAAAAGTAAATTATTTAAAAAGACAATTAAAGGCCTTTTTAACAAGATGGCACCAAAGGTGAAGAAGGAAGCCCCTGCCCCTCCCAAAGCTGAAGCCAAAGCAAAAGCCAACAAGGCCATGCTGAAAGACATCCACAGCCACAAAAAGAAAGTACGAGCGTATTTTCCTCTGTCCCAAGACACTGCGGCTCCGGAGGCAGCCCAAATACCCTGGCAAGAGCGCCCCCCGGAGAAACAAGCTTGATCACTGTGGCATCACCAAGTTCTCCAGGACCACAGTCAGCCACGAAAAAGATCGAGGACAACAACACACTTGTGTTCATTGTGGATGTCAAAGCCAAAAAGCACCAAATTAAACAAGCTGTGACGAAGCTCCATGACATCGTGTTGCCAAGGTCAATACCCTAATCAGGCCTCATGGAGAGAAAAGACATACGTTCGACGGGCTCCTGATTATGACGCAGTTTTGTTGGAAACTGGGATCATCTAAACTGAGTCCAGCTGGCGAATTCTAAGTACATACTTTCAGCCCCCCTCCCAATAACATAAAATAAAAAGACAATTAGAGGCTGAGACAGGAGAATCACTGCAAGTTTGGAGCCAGCCTGGGACACAAGGTGAGTTCAAGGCCAGCCTAAACTGCATAGTGAAATCCACTGCAATGAATAATACAGTTGCAATGACTGTTAACGAGACAAATATAGCAAATATTGTAAAGTATGTTGAAGAAATGGAACCGTAGCGCACTGTTGCAAGGCATGTAAATCACTGCACAAAGAACTGTCTTCATATTATAAAAACACTGTAGAGCATTTCCTCCTGAGAATAGGTCTGATAAGGACAGTTTTCTGATAAGTTCAGTAACATACCTTGGAGCTCAGAAGCATCTATGGAGATAGCGTGAAAATCGGGGCATGGAAAAAGACTGCCTCATTCCCAACAGCAGGCCCTCCCTCTAGGCTAATCTGTGCTGGCCTGGCCTGGATGGAAGATGTTTTCTGACATAAGGTAACTGATTCTTCCACAGTACATTGACCCTCGAACTTTCTGAGCACAATTATGGCCCATTTTCAGGCAGAGTCCACTGCGTCCAGCAAGCAAACCACAGGAGCTTTGAAAACCCAGGAGTACAGCTCTGAGATGCAAGCGTTCCTCAGGTGAGGTTGAGATCGACAGGTAGGAGAGAGGCTGGTGCAGAAGCTCAGGGTTACATGCTAGCATCAGAGCTCGACCCCTGCAGGGAGAGGTTTGTTTCTCTTGCAGACTCAGTTGAGCTGAGTGACAGAGGAGCAGCAACCAATCAGTGATGCGGGCGCGGGCTCTCTGAACTACCCAATCCGGCCGGGAGAGGGAGGAGGGCACTTCCTGTGTGATGGCGTCGCGGTGTACGGTTTGAGTGCGATGCTGACGGCTTGCCGCTGACTAGGTCACATTTTTCTGCTGGCTGCCAGCGGCATTGGAAGGATCCGCGGAGACCATCACCCCACGCAATGGTAACGTTGTGCAACGGGAGCTGGGCGGGGGCTGGAATCTGATGTGTTCCGGCTGGAAGTGGTCAGAGCCAGCTCCGCAATGCACAGCCTCCCCGCTGGGCTGCAGACCCCGAGCTCTTCCAGGGCTTTGGTGCTGCGTCAGCATCTGAGCTGTTTTCCCTTTTGCTCAAGCAGGGACAATGCTGTTCCCAGCACACGGTCCCGACTCTGCCACTGCCAGCCCGGAATACCTTCCTGGTCAGCCGCTGGCACAAAGGTATCTGTACCGCTCTGGAGAGAGCAGGGGCCTTGGGGAAAACCGTACACAGCGTTTGAAAATCATCACTTTAATTTTGTATGCGAGATCTTTGTTTGCAGTTGTGTTACGGATGAGCTCGGGATCTCATAACTTAGGAGAATTCAGTTACAAACCAAAAGAAGGATGTTAGGAGAGATTTTTATTGAAACTAACAATAATTGCTCCCTGATTTCCGGAAGTGTCCCAAGTGAGTGGCCCTGTGGCCACTTAATCTAGAGTTAATTATGAATAAACACAGCACAGTGAATGTTTAGTTGTTTAGTGGGCGCCTATCACAGATGGCTCTGTGGGTTTAAAACAAACACTTTGCGCTCAGGCCCTGTAGTTAACAGATTTTCTGAGATTGCACTGTTAAAACCAAACTGGGATTTTAGAGAAACACTGGATACTTTGTTTTACATTCCCGGAAACTCAGTAACGTCATGAGGAGGTGACTGCATACCTTGGTCTGCAAAAGGTCATTGCTCTATAATTGCCTATTTCTTTAATTCTTATGCAAAAGGCTAATGTCCCGACTCTTGTGTCAAGCCCTTCACTAGTTATTTGCCTTGCTTATAAGCTAACTGAAATTATTCTTTTCATGTAGACTATTTAAGTGGGGTTTTCCATAGACTTTTTTTTTTTTTTTCTTTTGTATCAGGGATTGAATTCAGGACCTCAGACTTGTCAGGCATGTGCTTGTGCCCCTGAGCCATCTCTGGCTTCTGTGGAAATTAGAATAGTGAGAAAGATGGAGGGAATGTTAGTGTTCGTGATGGAGGGACAGTACCCCTCCTCAGACGGCCATCCTGCAGGGTCGATCTGTTCAACCCACACTGGGATAGATGTGCGTTGGACTGGGGTGTGCATCTACAGGGATGTGGACTTGTGATATTGGCATAGTCAGAAAAGAAGAAGGGCCTCATCTCTGAATGATTGCTTTGGAGTCTGTGGACAGTTTCTTGACATTGTTTTAAAAATTGAAACATCCAATCCAATTCTATGCTTATTTACAGCAAAAACTGAAGTCAGGGTAAATTGCCGTAGTTAAGGGCTTCTGGCTTATGAATAAATGGAATAATAGAAATTTCTGAACATGCAAGAAAGGGTTGTAAAAGGGAAATAACAACAGGAGATTTTGGAGAATGTTAAAAATTAGTGACTGCAACAGTGAACATTTCAGGAAGTCAGATGTAGTGTCTATAAATGGAGGATTGTTTGCTGGCTTGCCCTGTATTGGCTATAAGGTCACAGCTTGTGTGTGTGCGTGTGTGTGTGTGTGTGTGTGTGTGGTACCAGGGATTGAACTCAGGACCTTACACTTGCCAGGCATGTGCTTATTCTACTGAGCTATCCTCCTGGCCCAAGGTCACAAACTTAAAGAAAGCTGCACTTAATGATAGATAAATGTAGCTTCTGTGGGTTTGATGGGCTCATCCAGTCATAAGGCCGAATTAGGAACTAGGAAACTGTTGTTTAAAGTCTCAAAGTAGGGTGGACATCATCACTGATATAGAATGGGAAGGGGCTTCTCTTGGTTACAAAAGATTTCAAGATGGGTTTGGTCATTTTCATTGTACAGGGATGAAACTCAGGAATCTTGCCCCAAGCTAAGTCCTCCTCAGTGTTTTCTTTTACTATTTTTTGTTAGTTTTTGAGAATAGATCTTACTAAGTTGCCGAGCTTGGAGGAAATTATGATAGTCTCTAAATCCTTGACTGTTGGCAACACAAACATGTACCACGTTGCTAGTTTAAAATTTGGGATCTTCAGTCACCATGATTTACAAAGGTTTCAGCACATGGGTTCAGTAAACGTCACGAAGGTATGGTGGTGCATGCTTTTAGTGCCAGCTACCTGGGAAACTTGGGCAAGAGTATTAAATCAGCAGGCCTATCCTGGCTAACTGACCAAAACTTTAAAAAAATATATATATGAATGGTATTTGGGGGTGTACCTTCACTGCAAACCAACTTCTCTAATATACGCAAGGAACTGAGTTAAGGTTTTTGCTTTTTTTTTTTTTTTTTTTGGTGGTACCAGGGATCAAACTCAGTACCTTATGCCTGCTAGACAAGCGCTTTGAGTTTAGTTTTTTGTAATAAACAGGAAAATAAAAGTTTACTGCAAAAGTTACTTTTAATTTTTTTTTACATCGGGAATTGAACTCATGACCTTCCACTTAACAGGCAAAAGCTTGTGCTGCTGAGCTATATTCTCAGCCCTTTACTTCTAATTTTAAATCTTACTTCTTTTTCACACTAGTGGTACATGGTACAATACTTCCTCATGGTGGTGGAGAGCAGGAACAAGTCACTTCTCTGTCAAAAAACAGGACCCCATAGGTGACCAACCAGTGAGGTACAATGTTCGTATTCAAAAGTATATCTGAGGTATTTAGTGTTTTATTTTGAATTTGACTGTTACAAAAATTTCCTAAGTCTTATCTTGATGTTTGATTAATCTGGTGTGTTCTGTCTTTTCCATACATTTTATCTTCAGTTACCTTTGAATGATGATGTTACCTCTTTCCAACTAAAGAAGCATCTGTAGACTCCTTTGTTCAATCTTACAGTCCTGTGTAGAACAGGACACTCACCAGGTTGTTTTTTTATTTTGGGGTATTTTTTTTTTTTTTGCCAGCTCAGCTCACCCTGAGGCTGGCTTGGCATGTGGTGCCAGGATCGAGCCATGGTCCCTTGCACCTGCCTAAGCTTGTCTAAGCAGGTACTTTAGACTGCTGAGCTGTGTCACCACACTGTTTCTTATTTTGAATGCTGTAGTAATCAGTTTTCCCTGAGCTACCAAATTTTGATGACAGTATAACATTGTTTTGAAAAGTGAAAAATACTCTCCCATTTTTTCCCTTTGTTTTGTTTTGATTTTGTAATTATAAACATTTATATCATTATGGTCAAATATTTAGATTAATCACTAGCATAAGGAGACAGGACAGAAGTTTTCAGTGAAAAGACTCAGGCTAAGTAAAGAAGACAAAAAATACCAACCATGTGAAAGGTTGAAGGCAGACTTTCCCATTTCGTCTTTCAATTTATGTTGATTACAGGAACTGTTCTTAATTGTTTTAACCCCAGTCATGATCTCTGCCTTTCTACACTACAGTTATTCTTCCTCAAAGCACATTAAGTTCCAGGCCTCTATCTGTACTTGATTATCCTATACTTAGAAAGTATGCAGTTCCTATGCAGAGGACATACTGTACACTAAAATTTTTTCCTTATAAATGACCTCATGAGCTCTACTTCTATTTGAATGAGTAGGTTTTGGTATATCACAACATAGAGAAATTTGATACATTGTCATTTCATAAGCTAAAATGGGACAAAAGGCACACTTGTGACTTCAAATAGAAAACTGGCTTCCTGCAGTAGCCTGCCCATTCTGTGGGGTCATTTTAGTTTATTAACTTTTCATAGCTACTTTATTGGCAACCTGTGTCTGTTACTGCTATTGCTCAGGGGGACTTAAGCACAGTTCATGCCCAAGAGTGTTTTGTTTTTAATTTTTTAATAGACTGCAAATTGAAAATAAATTATTTACAAACATAAATGAGTATAACAATACAAATTGTCCAAAATAAAAATGAAGAAAGAATTTACAGATCAGTTGTAATTGTTCACTGTCAAAACCAAGAAATTTATATTTATATAATTAGAATTCTCAAAGTAGACAGGAGTAGGCAATAAATATTTAAAGATTTAAAAATGTATCGAGCTGGTGAGATGGCTCAGTGGTCTAAAGCACCTACTTAGAACAAGCTTAGCAAAGCACAGGGACCACGGTTCAATCCCCCAGCACCACATGCCAGCCAGC